AAAAATAATCATGTATGAAGCAACCGTTTCATGGCTCTTTAAAAAGTGTACTCATATTCAATTTTGATGTTATCTATCTAATGTCGTTCTGCATTGGATATCGGAAATATGAATAAGCTAATAATCGCGTGCTTGTTGAACCTTCGATTGCCATATATACCTAAGCGTGATAAATACCGGTTAAAACAATCAACGGCTCGATTAAACATTTATGAGTTATTTTAATATTCCTCGTGCGGCTTTCACAGACTATAATATCAACGGAAATACACGAACGATCGCATGCGACAAATAACACGGCACGTGCACCTGCTACCGCTTCCACGCAAGTTTTATACGTTGGGTAGAATCAGAAAAATTCAGGTAAATATAATTTAATACATATTCATGAACTATTGGAATTACCAAACACTGACTTCACATAGCAAACAGGCGGAATGCCGCGTTCGATTTATATACGGTTTATCGGCGCGTCGGTAAATTGGTACATTGTAAACATCAGAAATCGGATAATGAAATTTGTATAACCGCACGCAACGGTCTGTACATTCTTGAGTTCTGACAACATACGTAGATGCAAATAAACATATGCAATAAATGCGACGCTGTACACTGTGTTTTTTTTTTTTTTTTCTAACGAAATATGTAGATATGTCGTACACTAGCAAATATACGAAATAAAGAAAATAATTAGTTAATTATTAAAAATAACAATTGTAAAGATTGCTAATGTGGATTGCGATAATTCTTAAGATTTTTTATATCTTTTTTACTGAATTCTCGTGAAAATAAGCGGAAAAGATATCGAAGCGAATATAGTTTCAAACATGCTATGAACTATGGGCTTCCCTGTGTTATCTGAATATCAAAATCTCTGGAGGAAACGAGTCTTTTCAAACTTACATAAAATTGAAAGAGAGATATGTATATTATCTGTGCGATATCTCTATCGTGTTTATCCTCATATTATCAGTTTAACGATAAAATAAATTGTTGCTATGGTATCGCGCGAGAAGTATCATGAGTATCGCTCTCGCAGTGAACGGGATTTTGTAATCGGCTGAAATGTCTGGCGAATGCCCCATGGGTATCCTAGCGGCGCAAGAGTGTTGGATGTAGAAACGCTTTTGCGTAATGAGTAGTTGAGATTCCTTGTTAAGGAACGCCCCGAACTCTGCACTGTGGCTTCCGTGGTTGCCAACAGGTTTCAGCGTTTCGCATAGTTTCTTCCTCCGGCTCCACTTCGTTGAGTCCTCCGAAAGGCGCATCCCGCACCGCACTCAACATGCACCTTGTAGGACGCACGTAGATTTCGGTACGTTATTTTAAGGAGCCAACCGCATAATTACTTGACGAATCTTTCTGGGTTTCATAATCATAATAACTTTTTTGTGTCTGCAATAATTAATAGCAATAGCCTTCAAATGAAGAATTTCGGTAAATTACACACACATTCAAAAATGCGCGCAGCCTAAAAAAAGAAGACGTTTGAAATATTTAGTATAATTTCAAAAAAAATGATATTTATGGATAAAGGATGAAAGGAGGACAGTGTCAGTAATAGAATTGCATAACTAATTTATTTCATATTTTTATTACCATTTTTTCTGACGAATTCACAAATTGTTTCAACGTCGAATTTTCTCGCGCATCTGCCTCGGGGATATAATTTACCAACTAAATTAAAAACATTTTCTTTGTAAAATCTGAGATAAAATAAATAAAATACAAAGTTGTATCTAAAATAACAAATTAATTAAAATTATTTTGTGTAACCATCTAAGAGATGGAAGGATATTGTGTGAAAAATATTCTGCTAGAAAGTTTATTTATGTCACCAATTCAGACTAATTAAACAATCTTCGAGAAAGATTTTTTCAAGACATTTTAATTGTCGTTTACTGAAAGTTGAGTATATTTACTGCGGAAATATCTAGATTTTTATCTTTCGTATAAATAAATATATAATATATGTAATACTTGTGATGTTTATCTTTTTCCGGTTTTCTATTCCATATCGGAAAAGTTTCTCCGAGTGAATAATTTGATAGGAAAATAAGAATTCAGAATATCAACAAACTCTATGTCTACTGCATGATGCTATTTTTGTATAAATACAAGAAAATTTAATGAATAACAAGTAAATAAGATTTTGGAAAGAAATATTACTTTTTATTCTATATTCTTTTAAAATTGCTACCACGGGATTTAATTATATAATTTTTAATTAAAGTAGAACATAATATGGCGCACGCTACACGCGACATAAGCATAAAAATGAACATTTCAACATTGATGTGTATTTTATGCTTTAGAATTTTATATTATATTGTTTGGCAAGCCTAGAACTGCGATGCATTGAAATCTTACATTTTAAACTAAGAGAAATGGTCTACAATTTTAAAATATAAGATTTTAAGGCATTGCAGTAAAATTCTAGGCCTATCAAATAATACGATGTAAAATTCTAAGGCATAAAATGACAATAAAATGACATTTTCAAATGATGACATTGTAATTATAGAAAAGATATGAAACATAATACGTATATATTTGCAATAATTAGTTTTACATTAATATTATTATGTCGTAAAGAAATTTTCCTTTTTGTTTATTAATAGTTTTTTTTTTAAATAGAAATAACTTACGTGTGTACAGTATATGCAATCATATTACGAGCAATTCCGTGTAATAACTACACAACGACAAGAATTATATGTTATGATATTGCTACACACCCAACTATGAACTGTTTTATATATCATCTGTATAACATAAGCAAACTAACTCAGCAAGCTGCGAATCGTCACGTTCGTGAGAACTAGTAATAATCAAGACGGAAGACAGGAAATGGTAGCAGCAGTAATGGTGGCTTGAAATTACGTTTTCGTGTGGCACAGTTTGAATAGTTATGAATAATTAAAAAATTTGCAATTACAACAATCTTTATTGCTGCGAAGATTAAACTAAATTGCGAAAAACTTTTTCGCAATGACGAATGATCGAAACTTAAATTAAGACGCAAAATTAAAAATCAAATATTAACGGTTCTGTGTAGCAAATACGACGTAAACAAATAATTGAAGACAAATAATTGCCGCGATCCTGTCTTATTTGTCTAATATTATTTGTTGCATCTTACGAAACTATTATAACTCATCGTAGTTGCCAAGGAGATATCTTACAACAACAATTACAATATGTTGCACATAAACTCAGTGCACCGTCGGAATATGCGTCGACCCAATTGAAACTGAACTCTGCGGCTGGCCGATCCGCGCTAATTAATTACCACGCTGCCGGCAAATTCATTACAACAAACACTGCTCCTAACAATGGTAGCAGCGAATGTTTAGCTACATTATCCTCGCCGTCCGCGTCGCTCGGCCGAAACTGCTACAGTCGGTCATATTGAATGTTACGTGTAAATTTCACGTGGTCGGCCGGTTCGCTCGCCGCACGTATTTCGCACCTGCATATTTTCCATCGAATTTGATAATTACCGCGGACAGAGTTGATGCGTCGTGTTGAGTTGATGCGCGAATAATAATCATACATGACCGAACAAAATACGAATCGAGCGCCGCTTATACCAAGTTTGGTCCTATGTTTAACTAACCGCAATTAATTTCTACGTTGAGAAGAGAAGTTAATCTCGATTGTTTACTTCAACATATAATTCATGTAATCTAGCGCAATAATAATAGAGATAAAATTACGCATATGTACTTATTCATTTTTTTTAAAGATTTTATAAACTGCTGCCACACGAAATGTTGCTGTTCCTATTTATAAATCTGAAAATTCTCTTCAATTACATATTATTTTGCTGTTTCTCTGTGTGCAAAGACCTAAATACGCAACTAGTACACTGAATGAGTAATCCATCATTGGTCATTTGAGTAGTCAATTGATACAGTTTTACGTAACATAAAAATAATGTTCGTTATATTGCAGCAACATTTTGAAATATAAATTTTTACTGGATGGTAATAGATATTATATTATATTACGATACGTTGATAATAACGATAATGATGATAAATATTGTTACAATTGATATGCGCGTGCAATGCGTACGAGAGAGAGGGAGAGAAGGGGGGGGGAGAGTTTCATATAGAATAATAAAATAATCATTGAGGGGTAAAGTGATACTTTGCGCATCGTTAACGTTCAAGTATTATAGAATCAAATTTTGGAGTTTTTGTTCTTTCACAGTAGACGAGAAAAAAAACACGAAGGGTAAAATGAGTAACGATGAAAGATAATAATGAACGTTTCTCTATGGGAAACTTACATTGCACGTTAACTTTGCGAAAAGTGAAGTAAACTCGCGGAGGCGAAAATGTTCGATAGGAATGCCCCAGAGATATCGCGGTCCAACTGTAGAATCGTTAATTATAACGATAATTAGCGGGCGCTTTTGTAATGGCAACTCTTGGCTCTCGGGCATCGATCCTTCACTTCGGATTCGCTATCTCAAGCCAAGTTCGAGAAGTATAAATGGAATATGATTTTGTCCTAATTAGCTGCCGGCGGAATTGGAAACTTTGCTTTTCGTGCAATGACTTCGACGTGACTTTATATAGCAAAATACTTGTCTATTAAGAGAATTATCATTGTGGCAGAAAAAACAATGCCTTTTTCACGTGTAATTGGAAGACATTCTAAAAGATAATGAGTCGGAAAGCAGACTCGATAATTGCCTAATTAATTTTTAGTAACATATCAACAATCTATTTTTATTTTCAATATATTTTAATCGAACCGACGATTTAGCGTCACATTTTCCCTCGAAATAAACAGATCGCGAAAGTATCAAATTATTTGTAGCTCAAGAGCTTAAAAGTGTGCGAGCAGTCAAATCCCGATGCATTCGAAACGCTTGTTGCGGACCAACAGTTTCTCGCGAGTGCTTGTAACGACATAACGACGTCGAAGCGACGTAGAAGCGTTTAATGAGCCCGTCTGACAACGGTTTCTCCTTTCTGTGATTTCAGCCCTGCGAGAAAAGCGGCGATTTTCGTGCGGCACAATGCGCTGCCTTCGACAATGTGCCATACAGTGGACAACTGCTCAAATGGTATCCCCATTACGACCCGGCTAGGCCGTGCGCTTTGATCTGCCGTGGTGAGCAAACCCTCGAGAACGGCATTAGACGGTCGCGGCAGGAAGTGTCGTCGGATGAGAAGACGGTGCCGCATGATGTCACCGACAGTCTGCAATTCGACAGCGACGAAACGATAGTGGTGCAGCTAGCGGACAAGGTGGAGGATGGCACGAGATGTTACGCGGAGGGCATGGACGTCTGCATAGGCGGCGAGTGCATGGTAAGTCAAGCTTCCTTCTCGCACAGTAAGCTTCACTTTCGTTGACAAAGAAAATTTTGTACGAGAATGCCGGAAATTTCGACGACTCGGCTAAAGGCACTAAATCTTGTTGTGTAAAAATTACGCTAAAGAGCGTAACTGCATTTTTAATGGAACTGTGAATAATAATTTAAAAAATGGACGGGGATGGAACAATTATGCTTTAAAGCCCCGCGCTTTAGAATGGACAGGTGAATTGAGCCGGGTCCGTGACGTCATTATTCCGCGCTTATTGCGTCCCGTCATTGATCCGATGCTTGAATTGAAAACCAACTGTACTCGACTCTTCATTCCACTTCTCTCGAATACCCATCACGACGTGGTATTTAGTAAAAGGGAATTCATATATCGTGTATGGCATTGTTTTACATACGTTTGCCGAAGTGCAAATTACGCTTTGCATTCTTACTACATTATGATTGCGGCTCAAATAAAACTCTTCAAAAGTTTAATGGTCACGAGAAGATACATATATTTTTTTTAATCGCACGATAATGCTATTTACTGGGTACGAGATAGGATGTCGGCGCTAGTAATTAAATTATATTGGAAATTAAGTTCTATCCAATATAATATTCCCGTCTCTCACGTTTCAATTATAATCGAGATTGCAACATTATTAAAACGTGCGTCACTTGCAATGAAAAATATTATATGCTGAAAGCGATTATCTTTTTAATCCCCTTGATTTTGCCGAGAAGATAATTATTGATTCTTAACTGCGGCATTATCGGAAACCATGGATCTGTCACGTGCAGGCTGCAGTATGTTAGGTGCGAGGAGCATTAAGCGATAGGTACAGTGCGCCGCTTGTCAGTCACTATAAATTGTTGATCGATCAACATGTTGAAAGCCTTTACTCGTTAATTATCGAACTTATACAATACTTTCACTCCATTAATTTAACTGCAATTTTGTTAATAACAAGGCAAATTAAAGCAAACAATCCCAAAATGATTGTGTTATAATTTTACGCAGAACAATCTCGATAATAATCCATGTTGAGAAAATTGGTTGGCAAAAAATATTATGTATATTTGCCAGGACAAGTAATGCGAAAGCATTTTTACAACAGTAAAAATTGGATTGTGCTAAAAGATGATGAAAATTTTGCTTTCTAGGAAACGTTATTTTGTTGAAAGCTTTAATTCCATGCTCACATGTGATAGAGTTCACTGCAAGATTTGGCCTTCACGCTTTCATATTTTTCCACGTACACAAATGCAAAACAATTAAATTATCTAGATTAAATTATCTAGACATATATGGAAATGCATTTGGAATGTAAATAACTCAAAGCAATAATTGTTCGAATCAAAATTACATTTTGATTTATTAATCCATTCAACTACTCGTTTGAATTGTTAAATCGATGAATCTCGGTTCGCCTAATACCTTGGGAATGTATATATTAAATTCATTATTAGCTTGGTTACCGCGTTTTGAACATCGATTTAATCAGATCTGTAATTTTGATCGAATAATTACTCAATTAATTAATCAAGAGTCGTGTGAACTGAACAATATCGTCGGAACGTTATCTCAAACAATAAATGGAAGTGACTTTTACATGCACACGAGGGCCACGGTCGAAATTAATTGTATTAACATGAATGTAAATTATATTAAATTTTCGATAATACTTGGTAGGAAAAATTGACTCCAAATTAATCAAAGATAAAATCAAAGAGCTCGCTGTTGAAAACACAAAGCGGTAGTATTGTAAATTTGTGGATTTAAAACGCATGATTTATGTAGACAGTGTCATTATTTTTGCATTGTTTTTTTTTTTTTTTTTTTTTTAATTAGAAAC